AAGATGACAATTTTATGTATATGTTTGTCATTCAATTTTTTTCCAATTGGGGTGCTATTTTATTGGCCGTTTCTGGTATCACTACTTAATTGTTGAGTAGATATTATCCTAGAAGGATTTCGTCAGAGATCTGTATTCCGTAAAAATATGGAAGTACTCTCAAATATGATGAAATTTAATGATGATGTAAGTTTCGTCAACAGCTTTCAATCCAGATTGATAGTGAAAGTCTTAACTAATACAGGGATTCACGGTGTCTGAGATTGATCAGGAATATTTTTATCGTTTTATTGCTGCATACAGGGACTACTTGTCGGTTTTCAGGGGGATATCATACATGCACGGAATAAGGCTCGAGCTTCAAAGTATCATTCGTCATATTTTGAAAGGATCAAAGTAACTGAATTAACCATACCATGTGATAAATGTCGATATCTCCTTTGATATATTGATAAAGTTCATTGCTTTTGCATTTATACATCGATAGGAACGTGACAACATCATTTTAATGGGTGATGTAGAAGGAGATTTGCAAATGGCTGATGGCATTGATTACTCGCGAAATAAAGTCACTATTGGCTTTTTAAATGGACAGGTAACAATACAGCTGGTAAAAAGCTCTGAATGGATTGCTTTTTAATGATGTATTTATGCGGATCAAATTCGCCCATATTTACTAGAATTTTTAACTCCACAATGTACCCATTTTGTAAGGTGGATGAACTGTTAGATACTTATATGGCTCTATATGATATTGTGATTGTTGGGGATGAAAGTATGGAATCTGTCAATCAACTCCTGCTGACTATGTTTGATCACGCTGTTAGTAGCTATTAATCCATCACGCAGGAGATCTGGAGAAAAGTCCGACCATCTATAACTTGAGTCAATCCTCCTCTTCATCAAATACCATAACATTATTTATTTTCGAGTAGGATCTCAGGCTGCATACATAGCTTGAATTGGAAAGTGATCAATGAACTTGATGTTAGGGTTTCTTGCGTAAATTTTTATAGATAAACTATTTTATTAACATGTATTTTACCTTTACGATATACTGTAATACTTAGATTACGTATTTGTTGTGCAGTATGTAATTGCGCATACACAATAACATGTATAAAAAATTAAGCATAAGCTTGTTTTCTTCTTATTGAATAATTTTATAATTTTATACCAGCATGATTAAAATTGGATCGCCTAACAGCTTGTTCTATTGTCTTATATCGTATTTCTTGAGTCACACAGTATAATTAAATATTCTTCGACTTGGTAAAATTAAAGACCTTAACTTATACCGTATAATTTGGAAAAAGTATATTATTTATATCATATTTATTATTTCATTCATGGCTAAGTTGCTCAAGGCAAGTGGTCATGCAGTCAATGTTTTGAATTATTATTATTGGGTTCCGTTCGCTATTTGCAATCCCTGGCAGTTTTGAATATATTGAATAGCAAGTTAAGGTCGATTTGACTACAGTAATTCAACTTGGTACCTCTACTGACAAGAATTAGTTATACTACAGTGGTCTATTTATCGATATCAAATACTCTCCCACTTGCACACAGTAATCTTTGCTGATTATGTCCATTTTTACCTGATTTTCAATCGATATGCTGTCCACAGAAATGCTAGATACTGTAATTTCTACAATTAGCAACTACCATGGGCTCATATTAGTAGTAATGCAACACATCTACAAATCCGCAGGTAGTACAGAGTCGCAAATAGGATATTTGGCGAGTTCGATAGTGCCCAGCAAATCCAGTTGTCAGGCGATCAAAATAAAGTGTCGAAAACATGCCAACGGTGCCATAGTAATCCATAGTGTTGCCAATGCAGGACAGTTTCAGCTGCAACTTTCGATTGAGAGCTAGAATTGGCCAAAAACCTGCTAGGAAACATGATATAGCCTGCATAGTCTCCTGTTCTGTATTCTACTTGGTGCCATACAGGCAACTACCTGGAAATACCTCCAAGAGAAATCATGGCGAGCAGTTCTTCCGCACAATTATACAATCAGGTTTGATATTCTAGTCTTATGAAGATGAATTGATAGGGTTAATATAAATGCACATGTATAAGGCTGGATAGAGATTATCCTGTCAATAAATAGACTACTGGATGTCGGTAAACATTGATGTTTGTTTGGTATGGAGTGTTCTTGGAGTAGCTAGAATTTAGTAAGGTTATTAAAGATGTTCAGCCAGCCTGCATTAACCCTCAATGAAATGCTAGCATGGCTGAGAATCGGCCGTAATTCGATCACTATGACTATGATGATAGAAATAGAGATTATCCATGGTAATAGATTGACTCCTTACTTAATGAGACTGTTAGAATACTCTGAGTAGTTCGTTATGGTTGGTTGATGGCGGTAGATTAGTCAATAAATATATTTATTCAAGTGACGATGATGCGAAATAGAGGGATAACATGGACGACCACGCAATGGGTTTGCACTGAGAGTGAAGTAGAGTTTTAGTTCATGCTACTCGATCTTTCCTCACCAAGCAACCATAGAGTCTAGTATACAGTAAATACAGATGGTGTAGTCGCGAATTCAGTTGTGGTTGATTCAATCAACAATGAAGAATATTCGCTGCCTTCAATTAAGCAATTCTACGGCGATCTTCAATCCTCGTTGTCTGTATCATGCCTTACGTTATTGGATGGATATTTTGTGCTCTTTCAATATCACAAATTTCATTTTATTACGACTACAGGCTTATTCCTTATGCTATCATGTAGTAGGATTAACATTTTATGCTATCATAATACTAGGAACTCTATCTGCAGACACTGCATCTACTGTATCTGTTTGTTGCGAGCTGTAGGAAGTAGCGTACGATAGGTTTAACACTTAATTCTGCCTCACTGCAAGCTTATAGTAATGTTGATGTGATTACTTTCAAAGTTGGATAGTGATGCTGTCGTAGCGTAGGATTGCTATTTTACGCTATCATGATCTATTGTTGGATAAGAGTAGCAGGCAGCAGCAGCTGCAATCGTACAATGTACAGGATACCCTACATAGAGGAGCAGTCTCTTATTTTTCAAATACTTGTAGCGTAACATGGATCTACTATTGAATTTGTCGTATAATAACCACCAATATTATCCAGAATAATTTACATTCCACAGTAATATTTCATGAATCTTATGCTGTCGGTGCCTTCTCAGCGTAAAATTAATGTACTACTTCGATGTTATGTAACTTTTGTATGGCTTTATCGCTGTTAAGAAATTCTCTGCTACCGTTCATTTTACCACGGTGTAGTAGAGCATTAATAACTCTTTATTGATGATAAATTACTGTAGTTACGGAATCTCTTACGACATGCAGCTGTATATTGCAGAGATGTTGATGGGACTATTGCCAAGTTACAGATGATAGCTAAGGATGGAACTGACAAATTTCAGGTTTGTATAGCAGTAGTCAATCCTTCTGTCTTAGTTGACTTAGATGCTATTGTAGAGATATTAAGCGGATAACTGTGTATCTTTAGAAATCCATTATAACAAAATAGTCCTTGATGTAATAGATTGAATTTTATACTGTAATTGCAGATGATTAGGGTTAATTTTGAATTATGGTACTGTGAATAATTACTACTACCGCTTTTCGATCAAATTTATTTTGGAACCTTGACTGGCCCGCAAATAATTGGCATTATTATATATATTTTAGTTTATAACAGATTATGATTGGACCTTAACATATCGTATGTACAAAGGCGAAATAGCTGCCACAAGCTTTGGTAATGTTATGGACTTTTTGATATCGCTTCATTTACAGAATTATCTATATCATAAAAAATGCAACTGTAGTAGCATAGATATAAAGTCGATGCATTTGTATGATATGCTCATTGGTTATAATTTCGCTAACATACAGTAATTGAAACTTGTTGTACTGTATTCTAAATATTCACCTTGATATGTTCTATATTTCAATATCCAAATCGTTATCGTAATTGCAAAACTAACGATTCTTACTACTTAAATTACTTTCGAATATAGTATTGAAATGTTTTTCTTAATTTAAAATTTAAAGTTACTAACTCGGTTTACTTTATGAAGGCGTTATTGATAGTAATCCTCTCGTTGACAAGAAAATAAGAGACGCGGTTAGACTAAACTTATCTTGCTGTCTTGCTACATTACATATACCCAGACTATGTAAATTGTCTTGCATTTTCATTAGATGATTCAAAAAATACTCTATAAGTGATTGATACATCTGCTATCTACGCTAATAGTATGCAGCCTATTACTGTATATTACCAGTGAATTATAGTGAATTCCTATTATATTAATTCGCTAATGATTTCAATCCTTTGAGATATGGATTAAATACACAAAGTTAATAAAGCAGCAAACATTAAGTATTTACCATGTAGACTATTTCTTATGCAATTCTTTTACTGATCAGTTCCAATTTTATTTTAGGCTGAATCATTGAGAGATTATTACTATGGGATTGAAATTTCAGAGTAAAAATTTTTTATATTTGGAAATTTATTTTGTGTCTTTAAAACCAGTATTAAAGCTGTTTTTTACATCAGATAGTAATTTTGAATTTTCTATTTAGTAAATACACATTTGAAGAGAAAACAGCATATATGGCAACATGGTTAGCATTAGGAATTGTAATAAAAAAGTGACATGTATGCGATGAAATTTCTCTATAAGTTGCAAACGTTTACAGCAAATCGTTTTCAAATATAAAGCTTTTATGCTGCCCTGCTGGTTTTTGTTAATGATTTATGACTAATTATATTTGAAATGTAATTTTACACGTTTAGGTGGAAAGAAGCAGAGAAATTGATGGTTAGCGCAAATATTTACAGAAATGATTTGAGCAAGCTCTTGAAAGTGTCTAGTATACGTTTACGGTAATGCATCTAAAATCTTTAACTCATGTATTATTTTAAGTACTTCGATACTATCTTGTAAATGATTATTAATTGAACGCATTCCTTTTCTATTTTTAATGTTATTATGTTACAGAAAGGGAACGGATGAACTGATGGCCACCTTGAAACGACATAATATTCCTGTATTAATATTATCAGCTGGCTTAGGAGGTGAGAGTTGGATTACCTTATAGACGGGGCTTTAGTAACTAATTTTACGCTCTCTATAAAGTAACTCTTTATTATCATTTTTGCAATTAATTTGCTCATTTGGTTCAATATACTACATACCATTTAGTTAGTTTGCTAACTATTTGTCTTTATTTTGATACTTACATACGCGTAATGAGTTAGATATTATCCGAGAAGGGTTTCATCAGCAATCGATGTTCTATGAAAATATGGAAATATTGTCAAATATGATGATCTATAGTGACGATGTAAAGTTCAGTTCGTTTCGTCTTTTAACCTTGATGGTGATTACTTGCGATTTATTAAGGGCACATTTTTATTCGGATAGGGAAGTCTTATCGGATTTCAGGAGGATGTAATTCACTCATTTAATAAGACTAGAGCTTCGAAACACAATTCGTCTTATTTTAAAAAGAACAAAGTAATAAACATTATCATACTAGGTACGATCTTACCACGATAGATTGTTAACTCCTTGCACTTTCTGTAATCATATATGTACACAGGAACGTTACAATTTGATATTGATGGGCGATACGGAAGGTGATTTGAATATGGCTGATGGTATTGATTACTTACGAAATCAAGTTTCTATTGGCTTTCTAAATGCAAAGGTAAATGTATAATTCGATTTTAAACCTTTGATTTTACGTAGAGCATTTTGCTGACATATCATAACAATATGTGTCAAAGACACTTTGCATGCCAATATTTGATTGCATTCTAAATTCAAAAATGTGTATACTTGTTAGGTGAACGAATTGTTAGATTCGTATAAGGCAAAATATGATATCGTTATTGCCGGAGACCAAAACATGGATTTTGTTAATAAACTTCTAAAGGCAATATTTTAGAATTTGAGTGTTGCTGTTAGCTAGTTCTAATTCCATCATAAAGTAATAAATATGAACATTGCTTATGTAGAGCTCGTTTTGGCCACAGGCAAAATAAAAATATTGCTCTTACAATTGACTAAAGTGGTCTTATCCATTTCTAGTCTATTTCAAGTTTTCATTGTTCCTCTTGTATCTGGTGAACTAGAGTACATTATATGGATGTGATTATACTATTTAATCTAATTTATTACGTGAATTTCTTTTAGTGTAAACATTTTGTACTCTTGGTGTTAATATGCATGACATGATACACCTGAATTATATAAATTTAAAATAGGTTGAATGGAAGCTGGTAACTATTTCATGGGTAGTTTATTTTGTTTCGAATAAAAATATTTAAATAATTGGACCATCACGAAGTTATAGCATTATATGTTGCCTAAGATGAAATCAATTTATTTGGATATTCCGAGTCCCTAATTGATCAATCGCTCTTTAGGACATGAATCGATCATCTCCTTAAAACTTATCATTGCGTCGATGAATTTTATTTTCGCATACCTTGGCTATACCATCAGCTCCAGATTACTGCATAGAGGTTTTATTTCAAATTTGACATAAACGTTACGTAAAAACAGTCCTGTATATACGAGTAAATCATTATCTGGCTAAAATTTGGCATCAATGAAATTCTTACGGTTAGCAATAAATTGTTACATAATTTGAAATGTCTTCTACCGTTATATATGGCATTGCTATACTTCAATTTCTATCCAGAAATGATGGTTGATCATTAATTGACATATGAAATGTATTGCTAGACTGTTGTTAAATACTGTATATGAAGTATAATCGTTTGTACATTGGTCAAATGTTAATATAAATGATTAAAAGTTTCAGTGAAAAACTAGATGTAAGTAATTTTTAAAATATTTATAAATTTACATAATATACGTATGGATACTGCGAGCACGCGGCCAAAGCTTACACCTCATACCAAGTCAGAGTAAAATTATTACAACCAATTAATTTAGCACAGGGTCTTAAAATTTTATTTTTAATGAAATCTATGTATAAGGTTTTCTTTATTACGCTTTAAGACCTGATTGATGCAGTATTCGCTTTCCTGGCCGACTTCAGTCAATCTTAAATCCATATTGATAATTCTATGATTTTCTTCCATGCTCTCTTGCAGTGCTTTTCCCCCATCCTTTCCAATAAAAGCGTTAATGAAAATAAGTTCAAGTAGCATGATTCTAAATACAATTCTAACATAAATATTTGATTTACCGGTCCGAGTTTGTTGCAAGACAGATTTATGGACGTAATTACTTTATTATGGAGAATAACCTTTTGGAAATAAATAACGAAAGAAATATTTATATTTGAACATGAATAACTATGTTAGATTGATTATCTTAAGATTACCTTGGCTAAAGCCATTGCTGTCGGTTCTGTTAAATCATTTGCTCCGATATCCATAAGGGAAAGAATTTTGTTTTTCATTAATGCTTTGCACAATGCCTGACCTCCCTCATCACTTAATCTATACAATTGCAATGAAAAGTTATGATAGGGTTAAGAAAGAGCATAAACTTTAAAAATTATATCTAGGCTGTAACCTGTTAACTCGGATATTTAGAGTTCTTAAAGTTGCATTCTTTTGTAATGCGTGGCTAATTGCAGAAGCTCCCGGTCCGTGAATTTGATTACCGCATAAGTTAAGATGAATAAGCTTACTATGACCGTTTAAAAATTTTCCAATTGCTCTGGCACCACTATCACTTATTTTATTATAAGATAGATCTTTATAAAAGCATAGCAATAGAAGACATTTTGTCAGAATATGATATAAATTGACTATGAAAACTATCGCACTTGACTTACCGAGTGCGATCAATGCAGGATGATCCAGTAAATGGCTTATTAGAACTCTGACTAATTCATCGGTAACACCACTTCTATGTAAACGCAGTACTTTCAGGGTACGACAGTTTTTGACTGCCTAATAAGTAGAAATAAATGGTATTCATTTGCGTTAGAATGTGTACTGTACTGTATAGCCGGGTATATTGAACATGTACTCAAGATTTAATATACGGTAATGTGCTTCATACGATGTAAGAATATAGTTATTTAAAGGAACTCTACTGATTTATAGTAAATCTTAAGACATTGCTAGATATATTACTTATTGTAGATTAATGGACGAGAAGAGAGAATTTTATGGTAAAATTTAAAAGTTGGATTGAACTTGAATCTTGTATGTATGAGTAACATGAAATATTTTAAAATTTATAAAAGAAAGGAATATAATAATATTTATAACGCTGCTGGCCATCTGCCTTAGAAACATCCTTGATTATATTATGGCTTACTTTAGCTAACAGAGAACAGTCTTTGGGCGTAAATTTGAAGAGATTCCATTCAAAATTCATTCCACAGTCTCGCACACTTTGAATAAACGATGTAGAACACAAAAGGCAATAATGTAAGTACACTTAACACTAAGTAGTCATTAAAATTAGTCAATATTTACCCATATGTTACATGAAGCTCTTGGAGATTTGTCAGTCTACTAATAATTTCATTAAAATCGAAATGATCGACATCGGGACTTTCACCAGCATCACTGTTTCTAAAAATAAGAAAGCGGCCAATGTTCGTTATGATAACACTGTATAAATTGGACAGTATTGAGTCAAGTTTACTTACGTATCGGAAATATCTTCAAATTTGGAACCACTTTTCACTGGTGGTAATAGCTGCTTTATATTCAAGCATCTGATAAAGTTTGCTGATAATTTCATAACATCATATAACTGGATAAATAAAGATGATGTGTGATGATGTGAATTTAGCATATTGATTGTTAATATTAAACAGGAATGATTCAATTGATAGTTTATAAAGTATTCGAGTAGTATTCATTTTTAGAATTACCATGGATGGATCGGTAGAATCAGGAACGAAATGTTCAATGAGATCTACAATTTATCAAAAATGAACTTATTAATGTGGTCATGGTAACGAGATGTTTAAAAAAAATTGCGTATTTGATAACATGCAGTATATATTCACCTATGGTTTACTTACCTTCTAAATTTCTTTCGAAAAACATTCTCTTCCAATCTCCTCCATGTTTGGAAACATCACATATCTGCCATCTGGCTTGGCAACATCGTTTCCAGTAGCCCTCATCTTCAATTAAACCAGCCGATATACTAGAGTATTCATAGATAACTCTCTATTAGTCTATTCCGATAGCGTAAAATACAGCCATAAAGATAATTTACTTCGAGTAACAAGTGCCTATGGAATAAAACTGATAGTATACTTTATGACAATGGTCCATTACCTTATCGGAACATCCGTTGGCAGTAACTGTAAAACTTTGGCTCTATCTTTAGTATTTAATCCGTCTAGGATGGGATTTTCTGCATGATACGTAACATATGAATCAGTGACTCATCTTCATCATATTACTTTCATTGAAAGGAAAACAAGTTGCAATTTAGTACCTTTGAAATTACCAACAATATGTTTAATACACAATTCGCGTAAGAGTGGGACAGTAGCAAGACTCCTACAAAGAAAATTGAGACGGTTAGGATTTTAATGTTCAATATACTCAATGGTTGATATCTACAGTATCAGTAAAGCGTTTCGTTATATGATTCTACATATACGTTACGTATACCATGTACAATTGTAAAAAAAAAGGGTGAATTTGTCATACCATTCTGGATCTTCTGCAATAATTCTCCTCATGAGCCGAGGATCAGCTGCAGGATTCATTTTATGGCTTTTAAACGCATCGTTTGTACGCTTTTGAAATTACAAAAAAAATTCAATTACGTCATGGCTACGATCCTCAATTCCTAGATCGCACATTATCGCTTTTGCTTTAGAAAATATTTATAAAAGTGGTATTACTGCTTTAATTGTAAAGTGACTGTAGTAGTATTTCCTTAATTGAAGATAAAACTGGATTATCCTTACGTTTTGGCTTGTAGGCGAAATGGTGCGTTGTACCAATGGTGGTTCTACCATCTTTTCTCCTTTGCTAAGACTAGATAAAAATACGAATACGTAGTATCCTCAGAGCTGGAAATACTGCAATCGATTGTCAACTTGTATCGTAAACATGTATTGATTTCAACCAGTCGTTCAAGTTAATCGTTGATTGAATCAAGTTCATACATTACACAAAATTATCAATGGTAGTCCATGTTGATCTAAGAAACTATTAGAAAGCACTTTTAGCTACGGTAGTTTGGACATCTTCATCTATGGTAATACCTTTTCGTATCGGGATTGGTTAATTCTTGGAATGGTTGATATCAACTGTGAAATAGCTGTGGTTATGTTCGTGTAGGATACTGGATATCGGTACAATATATGTATATCATTAAATAGAAAGATACAGCTCTACTTGTTATGCGATGTGGCGAATTCATCACTGGTTTATTGCTCTCCCTGTAATACGAGTTTATGTTGTCGTTGCCATGGTAGCTAGGAGCTAAGGGTAGGAGTGTCTATTACTGTACCGTGTACGAGCACACAATAACAGCTGTGGTATGATAAAGCCTCTTCTTTCTATTTTTACTATAATTAGATTTAATGCTAAGAGAGGTAGAATGCTACTGGGCAGCCTCAGTTAGGGGTCAGCAGAAGATAGTAATATTGTACAGTGTACAGTGTACAGTATGCATTTTTGTACTGTACTGTAGTTGTCCTACTACTGTACTGTACAGTGTACAGTACACTGTACACAGTGTAGTACAGTACGCACTCGGTTTTGTTTTCTTCTCAACTCTACAGTATAGTACTGTACAGTACATTACTGTACTGTACAGTATACAGCCTCAGTTAGGAGTCAGCAGAAGATAGTAATATTTGTACAGTGTACTGTACAGTATGCATTTTTGTACTGTACAGTACTGTACTGTGCACAGTGTACAGTACGCACTCGGTTTTGTTTTCTTGTCAACTCTACAGTATAGTACTGTACTGTACAGTACATTATACTGTACAGTAACTTAGTTTTATTCAAGCAGTCAGTTTTTTTTCCATTTTCCGATCAGATTTGGAAATCAGATTTTCTTGCATGATATTGCAGATGATGTGCTGAAATGTCTCAAATGATGGCGTTTACGGACTAGAACGCATGCATTCTACTGTACTGTAGAGTAGTAACAAGTCATGCGCTATTCTTTCTGAGTACCTGAGCATGACATCCAGTGACATTACGCGAAACCGTCTAGGTACCGGGAAAAACCGAATTCATTTCCCCTGCGGCAATATCAAGTCCTGTAAAAAGTCCAAAGTAAATAAGCACAGTTCAACGTAGTTGATCGACAGCACAGTACTGTTGTACTTGGCACAGTTCAACGTAGTTGATCGGCAGCACAGCACTGCTGTACTTGGCACAGTTCAACGTAGTTGATCGGCAGCACAGCACTGCTGTACTTGGCACAGTTCAACGTAGTTGATCGACAGCACAGCACTGCTGTACTTGGCACAGTTCAACGTAGTTGATCGGCAGCACAGCACTGCTGTACTTGGCACAGTTCAACGTAGTTGATCGACAGCACAGTACTGTTGTACTTGGCACAGTTCAACGTAGTTGATCGGCAGCACAGCACTGCTGTACTGTACTTGGCACAGTCAAAATGCATTCTCAAAATTGAGGTACAATCAAAATGGAAAAAAGGCCCTATCCAAATATCAACACGCCAAGGTTGCCATTTTGATTTCATTGTACACCGAATCACCGTCACAGTGCTCATGGGGTGACATGGTACGATGAATCATGAAATGACCTCTGATGACCTGATTTGACCGTTTGAATGATCACGTCTCGTGTCAACAGTGAATGAGTACGGTGACAACCGGTGACGAGCGAGCGTCACGTCACTTGGATGACTCCTCCCTCCAGTACTGTACTGAAGGCAAACCGGGTGAAAAGACAGAAACATTTTGAATGACCCATTGTGACACGACCCGTCAGTACGTACGTACTGCAGTAGCTCGTTGCAGTGAGTTCAGACTACCAGCGACCGGTGACGAGCGATCGCACGTCACTTGGATGACGCCTCCCTCCAGTACTGTACTCAATACACGGCGGCACTGAAGGCAAACCAGGTCAAAAGACATAAAAGATTTTGAATGACCCATTGTGACACGACCATTGCGACACGAACTGTAAGTACGTACGTACCGCAGTAGCTCGTTGCAGTGAGTTCAGACTACCAGTGTTGAAGCGCGTCGTCCGTCAATCTCGACAAGAGCAAAGTAGCCAAAGGAAAACGTCGAGGAAACGCTGTCTTCCATTGCCGAGCTCTGTTTTACTTCACTGAAATCGGTGGATTAACTTGCAAGATTGGAAGAATTGCTGGATTTTCCTGCAAGATTGAAACCATTCCATCGCCATCTTGTCGATATCGACGAGTTGGTTACACACGATCCACTAGCTGAACTGAGCTTCAAGCAAGAACAATTCCACTTTTTACACAACATTGGCCATGGCTGTATTATGTCGAAAATTGGAACGCTTTCGTTTTCTATTTGAGTTATCCACTAGCGTTATAACCTTTCAGACTTGGGAAAAAGTGCTATTCTATACTCTCTTCCTCACCATTTTTGTCATGTCTAGTTATACGACGTATCGTTTCCTACCAAGTTATCTTTATCGTATCTATCAATATTGCAGCTATTACTGGAATTTATCGGTTGATGTTGCCCATGCCAAGACGTAACCAGGGCAATCACCTTGGCTACCTTGCGTAGCCTTGTGCAAAGTGCATGCAGTCTTGTGGTGGATAATGGCTTACAGCATCTTGACAAGACGAGTAAACGTCATTTTGATAGTTCATGAATGGATCATGCTATCCACGTTAGCCTTCAAGCTACGGATGAATTGCACATATCAGCCTATCAGTAATTCTACAACATCTGTTATTCAGTGATTGATTGATGAATGGATTATGATTTGAAATGGAATCATTCTTCAACAGCTCTAGTCCATTTAGTAAACTTATATTTTCTTTTTTTTTCACTGACCATTTTATTTATTAGTTAGTTTTTAAAGACAGCTATCGTCACTAGTTTTTATCTTGGTGTAGCGTGAACAGTTTGACTATATTTTTTTTCTGTTGAATTAATGAAGGAATGAATGCAATTGCAATAGGATTGTCATCCTAGCTGCGTTGTTACAAGCATAATTAACTTTGGTTATGCATTAGGTGGTTTTAGAGTTGGACATCGTGGTCGGTTATAAATCATTTTTAAACCAATGACTGCTTTAAGTTTCACCTTCATCGTAGACAAGTGGTTACTGCATTGACATGCAGCATCAGATGACATTTTGCAGTTGGCATTTTGACCGCCATCATTACTTCGTATAATCCTAGATAGCATTAGAGTCAAAAGCAGTTGACTTATTTTACTTTGGACGCAGATAAACAATCAAAATGATCGTTACCAATTACTTTTGCAAATGATTTATTCATTATTGTAATCGATGTAAAACAATAGCAAGCCTAAGAAACGAGCGATTGAGTTAAATATATCAATTAGGCGACAGTTTTGACTTATTTATTAATTTTGCCAGCATCATTTTCAAGATGCTTCTATACGTATTTACTAGTAGTCCGTTGTCAATACACGTATCAGCAGTCAATGTTAATAAATAAACATGGGTGAAGAACATTTTGTTATCGAAACTTATTCATTGACACTATTAACTACTTCTTGTTGTGAACATGTTATACAGTGTACATCTACCGATTCACAAGTATGTATTATAAAATGATTGAAATAAAAATTTCAATCTTGAACTTTTTTCTGTGTATTGTGCATTTGCGTTATGATTTGACATAGAATTCTTCGCACTGGAATGGTAGGACTGCTTCCAATGCCGTTGGATGCATTGCAGTAGTTTCTTGGTAGACGTAGCACCAGAATAGTAGTCACTTACTATAGTGCAATTCATCATTTTAGGTACCACTACGCGTATGTAGGAAGCAAACAGTTTACAACTTCATGGCAATTGTAGACAACAAGAACGATGATATAGAGAGGACACTGACGTTGTTTGTGCAATCAAATGTCCAATTTAATTTGTTCTACACTGACGTGAGTTTATAAGGAGGTTGATTTATGCTGCCCAATGCATCTCAATGCTTGAAAATCTATTCAGGCAACAAAATCATGATACGGTTATGGATTGGTAGACCTAAACGTTGCTATCCCAAAAGTGGCTGTACGATGGCCTGCCTAATCGAGTGTGGTGCTACCACTGGCAAGATTTGTACCATTTCAACATGGTACGCCTACTTACTGTAACATTATTAATAGCATTGCTCGTCAAGTAGATGTCCGACAAAAATTGTTCTTTATTTTATTACTATTCATTTCTCAGCATGAGCAAATGTAAGTTTTTACAGGAATAGGCACTGAGAACCTATGAAGCCGTAAATTAATATCCAGAATCCATGTATACAATCATAAGCATTACACTTAAGCATGTTATAATTAGCCTGAAGTTAATTTATTAATAATATAGAAATAGTTATGGGTTTGGTAAATTCATCAGAACATTTTGCCCATTTGGTAAATAGGCTACATTACGAGAGCGAGCTAAAACTTGTGCAATTTCTTCGGCCGCTTCCAATCTTCTTAATTCAATTAAACCTTCACCTACTTCAGCGAATGCACTTGCAAGTAATTTAGCACCACGAGCATCACCTTCAGCGGTAATAACAGCAGCCATTTTTTGCTGTTCAGCCTAGAACGTTATGAATAAAGGAAAGTTCCATTAGTTTTGATTGATTAACTTTTTAGTCAAGCTAACATGATCTTCAAGAAGCTAAAGTGGATTGAATGTAAGCCAGCCTTATAAGGGCGAGTTCAATGATTTTTGCGTTATGAAGATTAAGCATTCATACCTTTTCAACAACGAAACGTGCGCGTTCAGCTTCCTGTTGAGCTAAAAAATGAAAGATAAATTTCTCTCATTCAAATCAATGTCTCAACAATAAAGAACTTTCAAAAAATGTCAAAATTGTAAACCACTTCATTCGTTTCATGACTTACCAACTTGTTTCATTTCGACAGCATGTGTGAATTCATGCCCAAATGTTAAATGAGTCTATCGAAGTAATGACGTTCTTAGAGGATCAAAGCCTTTGTAAGTTTAAAAATGGTTGAGAATTGATTTTACTTACGATGGAAATGTCGTCTAGTAGTATTCCAAAACTTGCTGCGCGTTCAGTTAGTTGCTGCCTAATCATATGTGATACCTGCAAAAAGGTAATTCTATTTAGAAATTGAATATTTGCAATATACCACGTTACGTAGTTTCCATCCAATAAGAAGAATATACGATATATCTTACATTTTCTCGTTGGGTGATCAGTTCACTGGCATCGTATTGAGCCTATAACGATCAAAAAATATCTTTGCTTACTTCTATATTATAAACAGCATTGCGATGAAAATAACAACCTCATTACTCGTGATAGATCACTTACCACTACGGCTTTCATGACTTCATTCGTGATTGATGGTAGAACTCTTTCATCATAGTCAATTCCAAGATTCTTATACATGTTTGGTAAAGTATTAGCCAACGGTCGAAATAATATACGTATAGTGATGTTTACGTTTTGCAAATCTACATTGTGCGTAAGCGAATCCAGTACAATGTCAATCGATTGTTCAATCATGGGATAAATAATGCGAGTATAGAGTACTGTAGTCAAAGAAAGAAGTCTAAATTGGTTTACCTTTGCTGCCAGTTGTTACTGGAACATTCCTAGGACGACTACGTATATCAAATACGATTGGCCTTTGAAACCATGGAACGATAAAGTGTGTTCCTTCTCCAGATACATTGGGTAAAACTCCACGAAATCTATCAAAGATTACAGCTCTGTGTCCTCCTTCAACTGCAAGAAAAAAACACAAACAGTTGACAGTGAGTTTATCACGCAGTAAAGCCTTCTAGTTTTACGCGTAGTTCATTCGATCATTTATTCATAAACATCTTAAGAATACCGTCTCTACTGTACTGGTATGTATGTGAAGTACATGTTGTTGCTTGATGGAAATATTACTATTCCTATCTAATCCGACAATGGCTACTAGGAAATGGCGCAATCAAATAGTTTGATAGTCTCAGGCAGCGGCGGCATTGCATGCTTAAATGAATTGGACTATTGGAAAAGCAGGCATGATCACGTTGGAAGAATCCTAAAGTAGCTAGAAATCACTAAAGTACTATTGGTCTAATTTACAGGTTACGAATTCTTCGATTGGCAAAAGTCAAACAGTTCATTCCGATACATACTAAATTATCAAAGTTCGCTCTCTATTCGGCAGGTAGGTAACTTAGCACGAATGTCAGCTGCTTTCTCTTTATATACAGTAAGAACATACAGAAAGGTACTACCCGATCGCATCACTTGAGGACATTGCTAAAATCTGTGACAGAAAATACTGCAAATCGCCACCAATCGGGTATAACTGCAGTTCAAATTATCACGGTTAGCCTTAACTGTGGGTTATTGGTCATCTTGAGGGATGTACAGTATGACCGTCGGCAAGCAAGATTTATCCTACGCTTGCTGAACAGACTTTGCTTACATACCCCCAAATACTGTATAACGATCGTGCCGTACTACTAAATGACAACCGCAGTAAATGATAGTTTGACTACTATAACAGTAAACTTTAATAGAACTTGGTAAAGAGACTACCAATACAAGAAATGGATAAGCTTATTACAAAAGTGATGAAAATTCTGTGTGCCAGACGTCGTTTAAGTGAGGTTTTATCTGTCGGAACAGCACGCGTATGCTGCTCTTTCAATGATTGAATTTTCTATAACACAGCCTACAACCAAAGCGATAGCTACTCTATCCATCATCGAACATGTTACTTATTAGAGTATTACCGTTGTATAATGCAGAATTAAGCACTCCACCACCAATGGCCAGAGCAACACCTAATTGACCAAGTCGATTAAAAAACCTCGTCGCCATTTTCCCACAGCTTCGTCGCTTGTATGATTCAGTATGACGATACGCATGTCAAAATGTTGCATCACATCCATGTGATGCCCAGGTTGTTGCTCTAATGCGCAGAATCGATAGGCGGATGCTGCAGCGTCAAGTAGCACTGTCTTCGTTGTACCATCAAGTCTACTATCGTCTATTCCAAACCGTACCATTGTTGGCATACGAATATATGTCTATAGACAAATTGGATGTTTTTCTATTACGGACTACTAAAAATGCAAAGGTCCTGTGCACTAATGCGCAGAATCCTCAGGCGTACGCTCCTGCGCCAAGCAGCACAGTTTTCGTGATGCTATCGAATCCACTATCATCTATTCCAAACAGTACCACTGTTGGCATACGAATGTATGCCTATCGACAAATTCGATGTTTTTCTATCATTGACTACTAAAAATGCAAAGGCCTGTGCACTAATGCGCAGAATCATCAGGCGTATCGAATCCACTATCATCTATTCCAAATAGTACCACTGTTGGCATACGAATGTATGCCTATAGACAAATTCGATGTTTTTCTATCACGGACTACAAAAATGCAAAGGCCTGTGCACTAATGCGCAGAATCTACATGCGTACGCTCCAAGCGTCAAGTAGCACTGTTTTCGTGATGCTATCGAATCCACTATCATCTATTCCGAACAATACCATGGCTGCCATACGAATGTATCTCTCTTGACCAATTCGACGTTTTTCTACCAATAGAGTCCAGTTACTATACTGTACAGTAGAATAAATCATATATAATATAATAATAATAAAAAATATTCAATATTATTATTATATTATAATCCAAAATTTTGCTGACATAATGGATGATTTTACAGTCTCAGGTAGCCTTCAAATGGAGTAGAAATACAACCCGAACCCGATAAAACGCTAGTTATGATTCAATAGAGTATGCAGAACATCATTCATTTTTTGCCTAACGATCTTATTCTACACGTATTAAAAAGAAATCAATCAAAAATTCTGCAGGCTTAATAGATTTATGATTTTGCAGTCTCGGGTAGAGTCCTGAAATGGAGTAGAAATACAACCCAAACCCGATCAAATCCAAATACTAGTTATGATTCAAGCCAATCATTCCTTTAGAGTATGCAAAACATCATTCATTTTTCCTCTAACGATCTTATTCTACAGGCATTAAAAAATAACCAATCAAAAATTTTGCAGGCATGATGGATTTTCTCATATTACAGTCTCGGGTAGAAACGCAACCCGAACCCGAAAAAAAATCCGATCGAATAGTTGATTTTCGAACCCGAAATGAGTGCAATCGCTATACAAACACTGTACGGTATTGCGCTCTCGTTTCGGGTTGAAACCGGGTTTTCGGGTAGACTTTGTTATCAAGGACACTGGTCAAGGGGGCCGGGCCCGCTCCCCCCCCCCGGTGTCATGTCCCAGGTTAAACTGGCCTAACCCACAAGCAGCACCTATCATACTGTATACTGTAGACTGATCGCTTGCACTTAATAGTAAGTAAAGTCTGTACCCCACTATCAAGCAGCACGAAGTGGGTGTTGGATGTTGAATGATTGCAACTGCAAAACAAGATGGAAAAGATATTTGGAGTAAACGATTTTTGTGCCCCGTTATCCGCATTTTGGGTAGGTTTTGCTAACTGACTTGTTTTCCATGTTATAGCTTCGTTATGAAATGCTTGTAGACGGACAATTCAGCGTTGCTTTCGTGGTAGCGACAGCAAGATTGCTATGACAGTAGAACGGAAAATAAACACCAATTGAGATACGCTGATTGTAGAGTAGGACTATAGTACAAATGCATGCTATACTTTCATACAAGTACACCTTGTAAGATACGCTAAAATGATCCAATTTAATGGATCCTAATGCTAGTGTGCAATTCGTCTATTTCAACTGAAAAAATGGATTGAAAATTGTCAATCAGTATACTGTAGTCAGTCAATAAAGATGATAAAACTCCTTGACTGACTGCATTTTGACCACAGCAAGGCAGTTGATGACATTTACTTTTATCTGCATCAAGGTGTTTATCGTCTTCAACCATTAGGAAAATAGTATTCAGTCCTGCCAAGGATGACTTTACTTTCCTACATATTGTAACACAGACAGTGCCTGGATTACTATTGGCATGCTCCTTTTCAAGACTGAATTACAGTTGTGCTTATCAGCCAGTCAGGCATTGAAGACAGTACTGTCTACTAGGCGTAAGACAAAATCAGCGTCAAGTTTTGCTTGCAGTAGTCGTAGGTAGAGCTATTAAAAGTCATGAATAAATTGTTCTTAGTATAGACTTGGATAACGGGCTTTCAATTTAGTTTAAACGTCTCAATTCAAATAGAGCCATGATCGGCAAAACTTGGTAGATTTGCATGACACCGCGAACAATGTCTTGCAATCATGGTAATCTTTCTTGGACGCCTTAATGTACAATTTTAATACTAACTTCTAGCTGTAGTTATGAGCCCGATCATGTTATCAATGCTAGGCTACTTAAACTAGTCAGATAGGTAGAGTTGTCTCAACATCCACATTGAATTGCATTTTTGGCATTGGCTTGAACTAGACAGTCAACACTTAACTCTAAAATACCAATTCAATCGTCACTACAACCACTCTCTTATCGTTAGTATGCAATGATTATCATGGAGAGCCATCTCTTTCGATGTCTATTGTAAATATTAATTATAGCTGTAGTACTGTTGTATCAACTTAACTTCCGTATTAATAAAGCTAAGCTTTCATCTTTTCCGCATTAATAATATTCAATTATTTATCCTTGTTCTCTTCACTCGAATTGAGGTGTATATTTTTATTGTGGTAGGAATCGAACATTTCAACTCCCTGGCCTGATTTCACTCTATGCTTTCAAAATGCAGCCGTATTAACTGCGCCAGCTGCTCTATTGATTCTCATATCACTATTCCATTTGCCGGGTATGATTGCCACGCCAGAATTTCAACCAAAATTTGGGAAAAAAACCAAATCAAATTTATACCGCTTTAAACTGGTAATGAAATATCCATCCAATGACATCAAGCTAAAACAGTCGTAAATATATTTTATAGCCCAAAGTACAATCTTAACCTCATTAATCTATGATTTACATCTATTTTGTGTATTTCCATGATAGTATTGCTCAGCTGCCTTGATCATTCCCCCAATGATTGACCTGATATACACCCTAGGTGATATTCAGCAGCAAAGGGTTGCTGGTGTCATGATCCTAACTCCTTGTTTGACTTGGATTGCAATGGTATATTTTGAATTATAGTTTAATTTTATTCAAAAAAGTTGTAAAGTAATGAAACTTATTTAACTACTGCATATTTTCGTAGATAATATCTCAAATACATGTGATAGAGAATTACTAAAATTAGACGTTTTAATGACATCGACTGATAGTATGATTTTGATAATTACTTCAGTAGATAAAGTAGTTATTTCTAATTCTCTAGCTTCTATAACATACAATTCTGCTATTATGTCTGCATACTAGCACATCCGTCATTTAAATCTACTGTACAATATGCTCTGATACAAATCTGCGGTCTAAACACCGCTACTGGACGAGCAGTTTATTCGTTTGTAGCCTTCAAGTTTTCGTAATCTAAAGGGTCGCTTTAGCTACTTAGCTATGGTGCATTATAAGTTACTTAGGCTAACAAAGTTACCTTTGCGAGTGCACACATTTTTGCATGTTTGTTAGAATATAGCTTTTATAGCTTTATCTACTTTCAACATAAAGGATGTAGCTCGTTGTATAGTAATTGCTAGCTTTTCTTATTTTGACATATATTTTCAGGTATTAGCTACAGCTACAGTTAGAATAGAATGGAGCCGAGGCCTTTTTTCATCTAGTGTCTTATTCTTATTTTGGTTATTAATGGCCATTGCTTATACCATTAAAATAAGAACGTTAATATCATTTCAAATCGCATTGGTAAGTTTCGAAAGGCAATTTCTTATTGGAAACTTTACTTTCAATTTTCATCTTACTTTCAAATACCACTTACTGTATTAATTTACCCGTATGTGCACTGGCACACATAGCTGCATTAAAAAAAATGAGAATTTTGACGCATATCATGTTTAGAATGTGATGCCTGAAGGTTTACTACGCTATGTTACTTGTTGTATCGTATTTGGTGGAAGCATATTAATGTTGGTTCAAAATGTATGGGTTGATCGATCATATACCAAAGAACAAGACGGCTATAAAGAAGATGACCTTGTATGATTGAGATGGTTCCTTGACCATATAAGTTTACAAATATTACTTAATTACTATTATTTCTTCTAGGAGGAAAGCCCTGAGTTACAATCTTCATTTCTCTCAAAAGTGACATTTTGGTGGCTAAATAGGTATAACAATTCGAAGAAATTTCTATTTTTTACTTCTTATAGCACAAAAATGAATAATTGCATGTAATATACGGATATGTTAAGTCACTACATGACTCATTCGCATGCAGATTGATGATAAAAGGCTACAAACATCCATTAGCTGAAAAAGATCTGTGGGACTTGAATGGAATAGATAAATGTGATTTTGTCGGACAACAGTTTAATCGTGAATGGATGAAAGAAACTGTCAAATCAAGGTTAGTCCAAGTATACTCATTTTATTCGCATTTTATTCGTATAGCTCTACTAAGAAGTTTAATTAATCATGACCAAATTCTTCAGAACTAGTACTAATGAAGATGCTACCGTAGTAACTAAAGGAAAAGGCCCGTCATTGTTAGCAGCTATTGGAGGCGCCTTTGGAGGAGTATTCTTGTTCGCCGGTTTTCAAAAATTTATTGATGATCTATTGACGTTTGTTAGCCCTCAAATTTTAAGGTTATTTTTTTTAATTTAGTACTAATTCAATTAGCATGGTAGTATTCCACAGTTTCAGCAAATAGCCTTCTCTTATCTGACTTTAAAAGTAGCTATTTAGCTAAGAAGTAACTTGTGTGATTGAAATTATTACCTTGTGTATTAAAAATACGAAACTTCTATTGGCAAAATAGGGCCTTAATCGGGTTTACTGGTGATAAAAGTCAACCTTTGTGGCTTGGATTTGCACTTGCTTTCATTATGTTTGCGGCAGCTACTGTTCGATCTTTGATACTTCATCAATACTTTCATCTTTGTTTTATCCTTGGAATTAGACTCAAATCAGCAATCATTTGGGCCATTTATAGGAAAGTAAGTTAATATGTTACAGCTTACTACAAATATTATAAATAATGATGCTTTAAGAGACTGATAATGATTATATCGCTATTTATGCTACATGAAGGACTTATTTCAATATTCTATGTTCGGCAATTTTAAAGTCATTAGTGTTATCCAATTCTGCAAAGAAAAAATCAACGACTGGAGAGATTGTAAATTTAATGTCGGTTGATGCTCAAAGAATAGCCGAATTAACTGGATATCTTCATGTAATATGGTCGTCGCCATTCCAGATTGCATTAGCTGTTTACTTTCTATGGCAAGAGCTCGGACCCTCTGTTCTTGCTGGTGTCGGTATACTAGTATTACTTGTACCCATTAATGCATATCTTTCTATGAAATCAAGAAATTTTCAGGTAAGCTAATAACACGTAGTATATACCAGTAGCCTCTCTAGATAAACATATATAAATATTCATTTACTAACTTTAAAAAGATTCCTTTGGCTAGTATTTGAGGAGAAAAAAGTGAATCCCTGAAATGTTAAATAATATCCTTAGGTTAAACAGATGGAGCATAAAGATTCTAGAATTAAATTAATGAATGAAATTCTAAATGGAATCAAGGTAAATGCGAATCCTATTATTACAAGTTTGCTTAATGTGCTTTATAAATACAGGCTCATAAACATTGGAACTCACTCTGGTTAGGTCTTAAAGTTATATGCTTGGGAGAAGTCGTTCATAGAAAAAGTTTTGGCTATCAGAAAATTGGAGCTAAAGCAGCTTTTTGTTAGCCAGTTGTTACAGTCGGCCAGTAGATTTGCCTGGGCGAATGCGCCATACTTGGTAAGCAGAATAAATTTTCGTTACGGTACAGTGAATGAATGGGACTTTAAGCAGCTATTTTATGTTTATGGTATCATTTTCCTTAATAAACTATCGTAATTAATAGGTTGCTTTGGTAACCTTTTCAACCTATGTTCTAACCGGCAATGAACTGAATGCCTCCAAAGCGTTTGTTTCCATTTCTTTATTCAACATCCTTAACTATCCAATAGCAATGTTGCCTACTGTTATTTCTATGGTTATCCAAGTTCGTTTTCATTAGATGATTAATACGAAGTGACAATCTAATTATATTGTTGGCGTTAGAATTACTTTCGATTAATCAAAATTTCTAAATTGACATGATTAGGCTAGTGTTTCACTACAACGGTTATCTAAATTCTTAAGAAATGATGAGATGGACTTAAACATTGTCGAGAATTCTATGCCACCTAAACACGGTAATGAGAATGTAGTACAAATTATTCTTTCAAAATTACTCTTCTAATTAGTCTAAAGATCTAGCTATCTAAATTCTTTCCTACAGATCGAAATTCTGTAGTAATAGAAAATGGCACATTCAAATGGGGTTCTGATGAAAAACAACCAACCTTAAAAAAGTAATGAATAACAGTTTCGATACACCACTTATTTTAGAAAGTGTTAAGATAGTTGCTGTGATAATGTTTGAACTGGAATCTATTCTCAAACTAATTTATTGTAATATTAGTATCAACTTACAAATTCCAACCGGTTCACTGGTCGCCGTTGTTGGCCATGTTGGCGGTGGTAAATCATCGCTGGTGTCTGCAATTCTTGGCGAGATGGATAAAGAAGAAGGCAACGTTTATGTTAAAGTAAGAGCTCCAAAGCGTTGTATTAAGTAACGCACTCGTAAGCATTACTGTCAAGTTGACTCTATTTTATGCCATTTTTATTCCTGTCTTCATTTGAATAAAATAGGGTTCAGTTGCTTATGTACCACAACAAGCTTGGATGCAAAATGCCACCGTAGAAGATAATATTTTGTTCGGCAATGATCGTATGGTAGGACGTTATGAGAGAACTATCGAAGCTTGTGCTTTACTAACTGACTTAGATGTACTACCAGGTGGAGATCAATGCGAAATAGGAGAAAAGGTTCGTATTTGTGCATTTATCGATAAATACAAATGGATTAGCGATGGGTCATAGTTGTTAAATTAAGTAATTTTGAAAAATGGATAGGGAGTAAATTTAAGCGGAGGCCAAAAACAGCGAGTTAGCTTAGCGCGAGCTGTATATTCAAATAGCGACGTTTATATCCTTGATGACCCTCTTAGTGCTGTGGACGCTCATGTGGGCAATCACATCTTTGAAAGCGTCATCGGCAATCGCGGCATATTAAGACATAAGGTTAGTGCGATAAAAAACTACCTTACAGACTTCTTATCGATTTTAATGCGGCAAATGTTATGGTAATTTCTGAGCGTAAATATGCGTATCTAAAAATTACTTCTTCTATCCACGTATAATAACGTTAGACTCGAATTTTTGTCACTCACGGTCTTGGTTTCCTTCCTTTTGTCGATAAAGTCGTTGTTGTAGAAAGCGGAGAAATTATTGAGGTAAAATTTATTAATTAACTTAACACCAAAATAATAGAAAATATAATTTCATTATAGTATGATCAATTATGAGCGTTTATTGCTGGTTCATTATAAATATATTTCGTTTTATATAACGTAGAGTGGAACCTTTGATGAACTTATATCCCATCAGGGAGCATTTGCAGATTATTTATTGGCCTACACTCATACAGAAACAAATAAACCAGAAGAAGGTATGATTTATTAGCAGTAATCGATGCATGTTTTTGCCTATCATTAACATGTATTGTAAATAATAACTATGTTGAGACAAAAGGTTATACTATCAAATTTATGCATTGAGAAAGTGTTCACGATAGACGGTAAAATACTGCAATGAACATATAATCGTATCCTGATGGCCTAGTTAGCTAAATACTACTGTATTTAAATTCGTTTGGACCTATACTCTGACGCTCAGCAAGTAATTTTACTCTCTGAAATCTAGAAGTTGATCCTGAAGCTTCCGAAGAGCTGTCACAATTACCAGAGGACGTACGTGAACGTCTAATTTCCATATCATCCCAGGCAAGGAGAGGTTCTAACCTTGGTTCAAGCGAGGATCTCAGTAGACAAAGAAAATCAATTCATTCCAAAGAAAGTTCAGTTTACGCTCGTAGTATCTCTATAGTTAGCCAACGTCGAAGTCTAGTTAGTTCAGCTCAGGAAGAGCATGATTCAATCATGAAACAAATTAAAGCTCTTACAGAAAAAAAGAAATTAATTGAAGAAGAAAAATCTGAAGTTGGGCGAGTAAGCATAGTTATAGTCATTTTAAACTCGCGACTATTTGCAATGTGAACAAAATAGCTTTCAATAGTACTTGTATAGATATTGTAGAGAGAAACTAACGGAATATCTGTTATATAATCTTTTAATGTGCCACAGGTAAAGTCAACAGTTTTCTTATATTATCTAAAATCACTTGGGTGGATTTCGGCTATTATCCTATTTCTTTGTAAAATTGCCATCGAGGGATGTTCTATTGGCACAAATATATGGCTTGTGGAATGGAGTAGTATCACAAATGCTACGGACGCAACTCGAGATCTTTACCTTGGAATCTATGGCGCTATCGGAGCTGGTAAAGCTGTATTTTCATTAGGTAGTAGTTTTCTACTAGCATTTGCAGCTATTCGTGGGTCTCGTCAGCTACATTCATCTATGTTATTCAATGTATTTAAATCACCGGTATCATTCTTTGAAACTAACCCACTTGGAAGAATCGTCAATCGATTTTCTAAGGATATTTTTGTCATTGATGAAGTGATTCCCGTGGTTATGGACAGTTTTATGAGAATGTTTTGTTCGGTAGTTGGAATAATTATTATCATTTGTGTCTCAACACCGTTATTCATGACCGTTATTTTACCACTAGCTGTAATTTACGTCTTGACACAGGTACGAATATAATAATGCTAATCAAATTTACTATATTACTAAAACCTAATGGATTTTATTTCATTAAATTAATTGTTATTGAAGCGATTTTATATTCCAACTTCACGCCAACTTAAACGCATCGAATCAGTCAGTCGTTCGCCAGTTTATTCACATTTTGGTGAAACATTGCAAGGGGCAAGCACTATTCGTGGCTATAAGGCTACAGAGCGATTTTGTATGCTAAACGATAAAAAAGTCGATCGTAATCAGATGGCATATTACCCAAATATGGCGGCTAATAGGTACAGTTTGTGATATGGTAAAGTAAATTTACTTTTGTAATACTATACTTAATCTTTGTGTCTGGACAATTACTTCTAACAGATGGCTCGCAGTCAGATTAGAATTTATTGGTAACTGCATTGTCCTTTTTGCTGCTATGTTTGCCGTTATTGGTCGGAATACTTTGCCCGCTGGAATTGTTGGTTTATCTATTTCCTATGCATTGCAGGTGCTAACTCATTTATATAATATAGGCTTCACTATGTATATTTACTTATTTGGTCAGCAATCATAATTTTGTCTATAAGTGTCTGCTGATATATTAGAGTAGCTGATAGTTGCGCAGAAAGTTGTTATTAAGTCTACTGATACAATTTTATAATTGCAGTCAAAAATCTATCATTAAGGTCTACTGATATGCTTATCTTGCTGGCAGTCTAAAATTTGTTTCGTACGGGTTGATATACTTTTTTGGTTGGTAGTTATGATTTTGTCATTGATTTATGCGTTTTTTAACCAGATTACTACAGCCTTAAATTGGATGGTCCGCATGAGCAGTGATTTGGAAAGTAATATAGTAGCTGTTGAACGTGTTAAAGAATATTCAGAAATTCCTCAAGAGGTGATGTATGATCCATTAGTAAATGATGTATTGGTTTATTATGGTAGTAAATTGAAGTGATCCATTGAGCAAAATACGATAACTTTTAAGTCGTTATTGTATCGAATCCACTTGCTTAAGATTTAATTTAATAAAAATCCATTTTATTTAGGCGTCTTGGGACATAGCCGAAGTCAAGCCTGACCCTAAATGGCCAGAATGTGGTGCTATTCAATTCATTGATTATAAAACTCGTTATCGCGCTAACCTAGATTTGGTCTTGAAAGGTGTAAGTTGCGATATTGCAGATGGTGAAAAGGTAAGAATTAGTTCTACCAGATAGATGTTAGGTAATGGATGGAGTAACGACTATAAATTAATTATGGCTATGTCTATAATTTTAATAGATTGGAATAGTTGGTCGAACAGGAGCTGGAAAATCCTCTCTCACTTTAGCATTATTTCGAATAATCGAAGCTGTTGATGGCAATATCAATATTGATCGAGTCAATATCTCCAAAATTGGGTTGCATCATCTTCGATCTAGTATTACAATTATACCACAGGTTTGAAAATTGTTCTTTACGGAAAAGATTACATGTCTTACTAACGTTTGTTTTGTACTAGCAAAACGAATCTATTGTAATTGTTAAAGCACTAAATCTATTAGAATCAGTAATCTGTTTATTCGCGTATAGTAAAATAAACGCCTTATGTCCGTTTTGGGGTAGTATTGTCTTTGATCTCATAAGGAATCAACCTAAAGTACTATTAGCATTTCTTTTCTTACAACCCCGCAGTGTACAGTGTTACTTTTGACAGTTTATGAATAAATTTAGATTCATTCAATGTATTCAGAGTTATCATAGCTTGTCATACTAATTTTCAGGATCCAGTGTTATTTTCTGGCAGTTTGCGAATGAATCTAGATCCATTCAATAACTATTCTGACGAAAATTTATGGAAAGCTTTGGAAAATGCGCACTTGAAAGAATTTGTTCAGTCGTTGGATGATAAACTAGAATTTGAAGTCAGTGAACAAGGTGGAAATCTAAGGTAAAGGCTTTGATTGCTGTTTGCATACCAATTAAATTGTAACCCAAGCGTTGGTTTTACATAAACTTATTGTACAGGTGTTCATAAAATGACATTAAACGCTTTATATTACTTTGATGTGCCATTGCAAATTTTATTTGCTGATTTAGAAATATCATTACATCTGTATTATTTTTCTTAAATCTTCAATTACAGCGTTGGGCAGCGTCAATTAGTTTGCTTAGCTCGAGCTTTACTGCGTAAAACTAAAGTATTGGTGTTAGATGAAGCTACAGCCGCCGTAGATTTAGAAACCGATGACTTAATTCAAGCCACAATCCGACGAGAGTTTGCAGATTGTACTATACTTACTATTGCTCATCGTCTTAATACGATAATGGATAGTACCAGGTAAGAATAATTCAATTTCTACTATGTAGGATGTAGGGGCACATTACTAGTAATACTTGGCAGTATTTGGGTGATTCGCTACCCTTATTGCTGTTTATAACCCCCAATTTATTACACATAACTAATAAATTGCTTCAACTGCCTAAAATTTACAGAGTTATGGTATTAGATCAAGGTCAAATAGTTGAATTTGAGCCACCTGCTGTTCTACTTACTCGTAAAGACAGTATTTTCTATTCGATGGCTAAAGACGCTAAACTTGCGTAAATAAAGCGGAACAATGATTATATCTTTTTCCAAAAATCATTATCACCCTGACTGGGATTCGATCACAAAATTTGTAATTTCTTACATAGATAAGGAACATTTTCGTTTTCCATATCGCAGTAGTTGTTTATAATCAAGAACGAATCTTTACTTTAGATATAGCTATTGTAGCGATTTTTTTATGTAGTGTTAGCAGTACTTGAATTTGATATTGTTTAATTTTAACTTTTCTTTGAGAAACCTTTTAATTTGTGACCTCATTACAATGATTTTCGATAGATTAAAGTCATTTTTTAATCATAATATCGTGCCCGTATGACGTGATATCAAGATAGCTGCGTGCAGGCATAAACCAATGTATACTTGGTTATTGTTACAAAGTTATGTTGCAGTGTTACTTGAATTTTTTTCTCTGCATCTCTTTGACGTAGCGAAGACAATCCATTGTATTACAGCTATTTCAAAAGATTTTGTAACAGATTATCTTCAAAATATTATGACTATAAAAATTTGATATTCTAATATGAGGCCTGTTTCATTGAAAATCAATACCACGTTGCCCTCATTTACAGTTGGAAGACTATCCTAAAGAACTTAAAATATGATATGCACCGTATATACTGTCTGTAGTCTTATCTTTTCTACTTGATTGGTTTAGCTGGCTTGCCAATGTGTCAAACCAGTGAAAGTAAATATGCCTTATATCAACTTCATAGTCATTTTTCATTGATCGAATTAGGAATGTTTATCAAATCAGGTATTAAATGATGTCAGGTGAGCTATTTATTTTAAACAGTGTGCGTTTATTGAAGTTGTCTATCGTGGCCAATGCTATCTTATGTATATGTCTTGTTATTGTTAAACTGATCTTACTCTAGATCTCAATCATTTTTCAAGTGTAAGTAATGGTTTCTTCTTCATATCAGCTTTTGGAGTAGCTATTTCGATATCATCATTACGATTCAATAAAATCTTTTATTATATTCCACACTATTACAAATTCATTCGAGATTCTTGGTGCCATCTCTTCTACCCAATGACATAAACAAAATGCAGAAATTTGTGGCAGTTATGAAATGGAATTTAGAATTAAGATTACCATTTCGCGCATATTATCGCCGAAGGCTGTCTTATTTTATGATAACGCATTCTAGAAATATGTGAACAAAATTCATAGATATATTGATGCAGGAAGTAAGGCAGAGTAATACATCATTAAAGATAAGTAGTGCATGATGTGGGTGTAAGATATCATTGAACTAATGTTAGACAAATAACAATGTTAGAATACATCACTATGACTTTGTCCTATACCTAGAGGAAGGAGAATTTATTTATTTTGATTCTGTCTTGCGCTTGTAAATTGTCTGACAGAGTCAATGTTGAATCTAGCACATATTCAGTAAAGCAGCAGTTGGAGTTAGTTAGGATAAAGTTGTATTTACAAATACACTGGCTACAAGTCATTTTTATATTTAATCTATGTCTACTTTAACTGTTTAAACGCAGCTCTCGTATATATGAGTTACTGCACCCAAATCTAAAAGGATTCCATATACATAGATGTAGTTTTGAATGAGCTAGGGAGCTGACGCTGGTTAGCAGTGTATAAGAAACCATATAAGATAGAGGCAATTTCTATGAAATCTTTCAAGCCATAACAAGTCAACTTTAGCAAAATATCAACTTAATATAGTAAATGTTTGTTAATGTAATCAAACTTGCAGCTTCTAGTATATAAAAGCAATCAATTATGACTATACTACGCAGTACAATATATCGATTTAGGTATCCATTTGCTCCAATTTTGCGGATTGGCTACAGTAATGTAGAATTGACAAATGTTAAGCTGTAAAGATTGACGTTAACAAAGTAATTAACTCAACTAGAAGTTAAGTTGCATTTGACTTCATTAACTACCTTAATGTAGCAAACTGGAAGTTTAAATATTTCATCATCTTGAACTTCTAGATTTAGAAGTCCATGGCAGGCATAATATACCTATCAACCCTTCCTTAATGTATGCTGAATTGTAGTCCAAAAACCAAGAAAATGATTATTATACTGAAAGTACATAATATTAGACGATTGCTGACTACTAGACGTATATTAAAAATTGTAGATTATTGACATTAGCTAGTTGAGTAATTTGGTATAAGATTTATATGATATGATTAGATATACTGCCATCGTCAAGATACCCAGCACCTTTCAGTGTTGGACCTTAATTAATGGAAGAGTAATGATATTTGAAGCAGTTTAATTCGGATGGTAAAAGGTAACGATGATTAATTTGAGGAGAAGTATATATTCTGTTTGATAACTCAAGTCTGATCGTTGTTCAATAAGTGGCTAGTCGCGAATAGATTTATAGAAATGTATTGGAGAACTACGGAGATGTGCTCCCATTGCAGACAGACTTGACTTGGTAAATGTCTTGATCAACTAAAATTTTCCGAAAGGCCATTTTGAAAATTTTATTTGACTTGCTTATTTGTGATATACTGTACTTTCATTACACAATCCCTTATGGAGATTGAGCTATCAATTTCTCAACTACTACAGTACATCAAGACTAGAATACTATCACAATAGGATTAGCCAAGGCGTGTTATCATAACGGTATTTACCGCTAGCTAAACTAGTTATTTTAATTTTATCAACTGCAAACCAACCACAAATGGCTTATTTGTAGGCAATTGCTATGCTTTCAGCGAGCCTAACGATAAAGCAATCAATTTATTTCATTAATCTTAAGAAGTTTCTAGAACTTTTATGCCATAAGTTGAACAACGTAAAAGTTTAAGGTTTAATGCTATGATCAAGTGAACCAATCAAGATGGAGAATTTTTTTCATCACATGATAATGGCTTTATTGTTGTGTCTTTGTTTATTGTTTGGTAAAGTCCATTGAGACAGTGTCCCGATCGATATATAAGGGTGCGTAAAGTGAATGTATTTCAAATTATGCGCGAACTTAAATCGATCGATAAAGCAGTTGAAAATAACTTGAATATTATCTTTGTAAATCAAAATTCATATGAGAAATTGGTAGTAGAAAAGTTTGCTGAGGATCTTTGCATCGCTAAGAATTTCAGTATTGACTACTGCTATCACTCTCGGTGGAATAAGTATAAATTATTGTCTGAGATGACATATGAAAATATTGTTACTTGTTGTGTCTCCCTATACGCGAACTATCTGAGATTTGGTCAGTGTGATAGGCCAAGAATCGAAGATATTGTCTACGGTTGGAGTAATACGGTAAAGCAATAAAGTATCCTAGAAGCAATATGATTAACAACATTTCAATTTCTTGACGTATTTCTATTTTATCAATTAGAAGAGTATAAATTAGTTTTATCTAGAATATTCACTCGATTATTTTTTATCATAACCTATTGGTAGCTTACACTGCAGATTAAAGCTTTAGACGATTTTCGACTATTTATCGGTAACTTGGGCAAAGATGCACTTATAAGAAATCAAACTACAACGAAACATATTAATTTCCGTGATAGTTTTGCTCACGTAGTAATCAATACATTACAAGGATTGTATTTATATCTAATGGCATTTATAAAGGTTTATATTAATTCGAATTATAATAGCAATGTCTAGTACTTGCTATAACATTAGCTTAATCGAGTTTATACAGGGAAAAAATCCACAAAATATTTATATATGTTCAGTGCTTGCTATAACATTAACTAAATCCTGTTTATTTTCCGAGTTTTTACAGGGAAAAAATCCACTAAATATCTATATTGAAAGTAGAGGTTAGAATCTGCTCATATAGGATAATTCATAATGTCACACGTTATGAAATTATCAATAGCATTCTAATGTCCAGTATTTGTTCATATATTCTGTACAACAATAGAACCTAGCATAGAGCCTATGGAAATTGATACCAATACAGAGCCAATAATTGAAACCTATATAGAGCCGTGTAACGAGAATCTATTTCACATAATCCAACCAGAACGTAATATAATCGACGAAATATTTCTAGAAGATTGGAGAACTATGGCTATGATCTTTACTCAATACAAGAAAATAACCGACAATCTGTTTGACATAGCTACTCGTAATGGCATCGCTAAATTAGAACACAAGAATAAATACAACATTCTGGAAGAGAAGTTCAACAAATTTGCTTCTGCTACCTGTTATCAAAGTATCTTATGTCTCTGCATAAACATAGGCATTTGCACCTTTAAAAATCTAGGGAGTGATGATTTGAGTGAGATATCAACAATTTATAATGTCATTCAAAACAGTTTTACTAATATGGTAAGTAGATGGCATAAGTAATAAATTGTCTATTCTTGTTAATAATTATAATAAGCGTAATAGACATACTAAGAGACTTACAGACAGCTTTTCTACTATAGGAGACGAGATGGCTAAATTTCACTTTATTAGTTATACTAGCATAAATCAGCTTTATTATGAATAATTTACTAACTCTAATCACGATGCATTGCGATTACTCCGTAGGTCCATAGCTTGAATGAATTTCAAAAATTAATCGATGCTTTGGGCAATAAACTACTTGAAATAAATGGAATAGCAGTGCAACAAGAGAAATATAACTATGATAATCATTCTTGCGTGTTAATTAATATAATTTACGAATTGTATTGGCGTTTAATGGCATTTACGAAGGTTAGCATCCATAATTATTTAATTCCGTGATTGCAGACTAGTATTATAATATTAATGTACTTCTTATGGCATCAATCTAATCTACTAAAAAAATGCCTTTCTAGGCCACAGACCAAAAACAAAAAATGGTATGGTTCGATTATCATGGAAGAAACTAGAACTATAGTCATTAAAACATTAATTAAAAATAATATTTATTAAATGTAATAAGCTTTCAATAAATTTTTTGTAACCTTTAAAATAATGCGATATTAATTTGCTTAAAATAAAGCGTGTTAGAGGGCCATGGCTGATGATGAATCGGTGCATAAGGTTTTCAGTATTCACTCTTATACCAAGTGCTAAGAGCCGGGATTGACAGCTTATAGGCCTGTGCATGTGATGACGAAGAGTATACGGACATGGACTCCTTAGACATTTCGCAATAATGATACGAGGGGATATTAGAAAGAAAGATATTTATTGTAGAGAATAACAAGGTACAGCGTGGTAGTTACTGGTAGATCAGCATGTAAGCTGTCGTGAAGTAAAGTGTGTAGATACTAACCCTAAAACGTGCAACTGAATAAATGTGTAGCAGAAATCATCAGTATTCATAGTTTTAGAGTGAGAGAAAAAGATTGTAGAATTAGATACATCATATACCATAAACAGCCTACATGATAGTAAATGATTGTAGGAAATAGCAAAGAATGTAGTTGCTATAAATAACTAAATATGACAAGCTATATTTGAGCATAGTTGAAATAGACTGTAGAGGTATCTATATTCGGAACGTAACAAAATGTCTACATTTAAGAACATGCCTAAGAACTACCGTGAAAATAAATACACTACAGTGCCCAAATCTTGAAGTTTATGTGTTTCAACGCTATTACAGAAATCTATTTCAGTATCTTAGACCTTAAGATCTTTAAACTACGAACCTAACTTAGTAGCAGTGAGATTGTTACAGATGTACCTGTGCCATTATTATTGTAAGCTAAAGGCTCTTATGAAATCTGAAGACTAAAAAGATTCTAAATTAAATAGCAATTTTTAATTATTTTGTTACGAATTACCTTTTCGAACGGGTCATAAACGCTGTTGTCACGACGACTCGTGTCCCCAACTGGCTTAGGCGACTTATTATAGTTGAACTAACTCTCGACTGCACAAATAAGCTGCCAACGGGTAACAGGTCTAAGGACTTTACTTTATTGAGATAAATCCTAGTAAGAGAATCTACTAAAAAGCACTTTAGAAAACTCCTAGCAATAATGATCAAGTGGATCTAAAAATGATTAAAATGGAACTGAATAGTAAATTTAGTGCTCGAGTTTATATAATCTCGTCCTCCGCCGATGGTGCATATGTTAGTATCCTAGACATAGCGACTTGCACTTGCTAAATTTGTATTTGTAAGTGTAAGGGAGTGGCTGTAAGTCTGTAGTTTTGGTCTGCACAGAATCAGCGGTATCAAGAATGTTCTAATGTAGCGTATATTAGCAAAAGGAAAATGGAGAGTTTATAGCGGGTATAAGAGGGCGGTTAGGAATCGCCTCAAGAGGGAAGACATGATGCCTTGGTATTAGCAATAGCATCTTCCAGTAATGTAGGACTGATGAGAGAAGCAAGTCTGCGAACTAGCAGCAGTATCTACATTGAATGAAAATAAAATAACTTTTCAGTTTATGACAGCTGAATGGAGCTCATAGATATCAGTATTGATATCTGTCACAATATCAGATCATAGACCTAACTGATTTCATATATAAGCACCGTAAACACTATCATTCCTAACATCAATTAGTTTTGACGATTTTTCAGCATTAGGCCTATCGTGATTAACCACAAGAAATCTATTGACGTAAGTTGTACTTACACCAGGCTGCACGTAAAGGAGATCAAACATGGGGTAGTAAGCTTGATTTATCTATTTAAAACTCACGGTCAACGTGAATCCAATTACTTAATAATTTTTAACTTATTTCTTATGCAACTACTACTAGATGTGTTGAAGCAATTACAGAATTATACTACAACTATTAGCTTCACCGCAATCTTGCTTTATTTTAACCTTCAAGAAATCAATAATATGGAAATAAATACGAACATTAGCTACTACATTCTTTGGGCAATAGAAATCCAGTAGTACTACAATGGCTCAAGCCTTAAGGGCTGTTATATAGATCCAGATCCTAATCTAGGTCACAATGCGAAATAACAAAATATGTCCACAGCTACCCCCATATATGATTGATTAAGGCAGTTTACTCAGTCAAGTATATAAAGCTAATAACATTAGTGGAAATTAGTGTGTTTGTATTTAGAATTCAACACTTTGAAATACAGTAAAGTCGGTAGAAGAAATTCAGACTTGAATTTCACTTGCAAGATCGGCTATTGCTTATAAATAAATATGTTTATGGCCGCCATTTTATGATATGCAACATATCAAAAAGCTCTCAATAGACCGATACAATTAGTACTGATTCAAATGAAAGTCGAGCCATAATAACTTAAGCAAGTATGCTGTTTTCATTATTTAATTGCTTACGTATTTGGCTATTAATAATTCTGGTTTACGATATAATTTATTTATTAAGTTAAAGTAAAAATGATGCTATCGAGGCTTACTATCAATTTTAAGTGTCGTTCTAGACTGATGCATGTTAGGCATAGAACAGCTAGATAAAATTAACAGATTCACACTTCCATCCGCGGGATTTTTGGATAAAATAATTTGGAGTATTTCTGAGCAGATTGCTATTAAAAGATGGTATTTTTGTACGATTGTTACAATGTGTAAGAGCGTTATTAGGTACTTTAAGTCGATCTTTTTACTGAGAATTACTTTAAAGATCCTCTAGAATATTTTCGTGCAGCGGCTAAAAGCTTGCGTTATAAATGGAATGATCTTGGACGTATACTTACTGAAAGCTTTTCAGCGTATACCTTTGCAGACTATTTTAGTAATTATGGTAGAATTTTCAAAATTTGATATGATTGGTACGATCGTAACATCGAGAAATTATTTTTAAAGAAATTTCCTAGATTTTCAAATGAATAAGGTTATAAAGATGCTGCATGTCAACTTAGTAAGTTATTTAGCTATTGCACAATATTTACGTTTAAAATCAAGTTAGTAAGTGTAAAGAAGTGGCTTAGTGTTCGCTAGCCTTGCATCTTGCAAATGAAAGAGCGCATGCGGGCTATGCATTTTATAGTTGTTTATGTAATAGAGTTTATACAGTATGGTCTTATATTTACTCCTTTATTAAATTTAGTGCTGTTTATGAAGCGAGACTTTAATTATGATAAAAAAGTACTCATATTAAGATAAGATAAACTAGACACTAATAAACGATATTTCTAAAATCCTCTACCGAAACCGAATAACTTCGTTTACAGTAAGTATTAAGGAATTTCCCTCTTAAATATTTTCCTTTAGCTATCTCAATCATATGATTTGTCGTATCATATTTTCGTTCGAAAGAATAATTGATATAAAATTTAACATATTTGTACCTTTTCCAGTGATAACTAGAATTGATACAGTATTTTAAATTATTATTGCTACAGTGTTTACGATGACTTTAGTTAGCATTCAATAGCTTCAAGGATTTCAAACCGATATTTCCTTAAAACTGATTGTTACAAAAATGATGCACCTGCAATAAGTGCTGTTACATCTAACTCTTGCCGAATTTTGCAATGATTTATCTTTAAAATAGATTTAATTTTAGGAATATAACATAATAAAACCTAATAGCTCAAAAGTGCATATTTATTCCGAGTAAATAAGTAGTACTAAGACGGCTCATTATTTTTACCAACTCCAAATTTACGAATTTTTGTAGATTCTATGTCAAAATTACATGCTGCACTTACGATAACAATTATGAATATATCATTTTTTGCTAATAATTATAAATAAGAGGGAATTGTTGCTCAATAGACTGAATCAGAATAGTTACGTTAAATTTAAGGTTAAGATAGACCAAAAGTAACGACAACTTATTGGAACTTTTGGCAAGCATAAATTCGATTAACATTAGGAGTGATAAATTTATATGAAGTTGAAAGAAGATCTCTTAAATTTAAAATAAACGAACATTGGTAAAAAATGCTTCCGGTAGAAATCCAATTTAGAAATTGTCCTTGTTATGATTTTATTTGTTAAGTTAACACAATCCATAGGACAGAATAGTAAAGGTCAATTGCATCCAGTAGATTATATTTTGTTTTGTACAAGATAATCCAAACTTTTACCCAGTATTACTTTATTTCAAAAGTTCACTTTATTTTAGCTTGACAATCTTACATTCACGAAAGTAAAAATCTATGAAAGCAGAAACTACGTAAAGTTGATTTTACTTAGAACCTTTACTAAAAGTATTGAATTCTAATCGCTTTTACGATTGCCTACAATTCTACTATTATATTTATATCCATCTATGCTAGCTAATTCTTATTATGAGCATATGGTAAGAGAAAGCATGCTTCTACTTCCTATTAACTACCGCCCGCTTTATGTCATGATTCTCTTGCAATTCTGAAGCCCTTCATATTTCTATCATCTCCAATCTCGTTCGCTCTTTAATAATCTATTACTTTGTTGCAGGCAAATAGATTGCTGTTCATACCTAAGTAGTTCGTTAAGAATGGCATTACTAACAATGATACAGCTATCATCAGCTCTTAAATTGTTATTCTTGATTTTAGTTCATTTTAATTAAAAACTGTAGGCAACGGCAGTGAATGGTTTATATTTTAAAATAGTAGAAAATCTGAATTTTTGGATCTATTTAATAATATTAATTACAAATATTTTGATGTACTCAAAAACTGAATAAAGATAAGCCGCTCTCTTTGATAGAAAAGGTACCGTAGTTTCATTGATAATAAATAGAAAATATAGCAAAGTAAATTTCTTACCAAATAGCGTGGGTTTTTCATTTCTTATCATTCTAATCAATTTGATACAGATTATTAATGAAGTAGAAGTTATTAGTATGCGTCTTGTTGAAAAAATCCTACAACCGTATCATTATATGATAGGTCTCGGGTATGCGATAAATTAAAGAATTTTATCCAAAAATTTTATCTGATTTTATACAATTGTTCATAACTAAATAATGCATGTTTGCTACCTATATAGACATAGCGTGTATGA